CAGTGACAGAGCTTCCAGCATCACAGCAACACACAAGCCACCACGGTATGACAAATTGACAGTTGAGTGGTGACCTGACAAAGGTTTCAAATTCAAATAAAAAAAGACATACTAACAAGGAGCTTATCACAAAAACAGATCTGCAGTGCAATTGTGGACTCATGAATTGTCCATCCTGGGTATCTGTGCTCCAGCTAAGAAGTAATTTTAGATATGGAAATTCATTCAAATATGGATCTGAATGGAAGTTTAAGCTAAAGAGAGGCTGTTCTCTTATGGAAAGACTGGCAGAGAATTGGGAACGCTGGAGGGTAGGAAGAATGTTCCCAAGTGCACCACATATGCAGCAAGCCCAATTGAGGGATGAGGCTACCAGACAGGACACTCATCAACTTATTGAAACCCTGATTGTTGTCACGCCCATTTCCAGAACAGTGAATGACTGTCACAGAAGCATCTTTGTTGGTTGTACCTGACCCTATAGGTACAGTTACCCTACTACACCGCCTTTACATACTAGGAGGCATACAATAAGGAAATGTGAATTCAAATGAAAGGCTAATTCAATGTAAATTGAAATATATTTCTGTTAAGAGGTCATGGTAACCAATCTATTAATCTCATTAAGCTCTACTGACACTCATGTAAATTTGCACAAAATAATCTACCATTTATAGATGTGCTGAAGAGATTAAGTGCATATAAATAAATGTATGAGGGGGTTTCAAAAACTTTAAGGAAAAATGGAATGAAAAGGGTATTTTCCAACAAAGTTTTTAAAGCTCACTAATATTAAAGATTATATCAGTAAATTTTAGAAGGAAATAGCCCAGAACAATATCTGAAATGTGAACTTGAATTGTTAAAAGACTTAGGTGGTCTGATTTAGGTGATGCATTTACTGAAAATATGTGTCTAGGATCAAGTTATATCTTCTTCCTATATCTTAGTTTCTTCATTTACACAAGTGGGAAGTTGGCTATATGATTTGTGAGGAATCTTCTATTTCCACAGTCTATTAGCTATATAGAATATATGCACCAGTGTATTTTGTCCATATCCATACTTTAGATTAGAGAATGATGAAGAAAAATATGTCATAATGAAATAAGAAAATAATGGATTATTATATATATACAGTTACATACATGTATATATTATGAATGAAATATATTTTCTGTTTAACCACTGTTCCTTTATTTCTCACCACTACAGGGCATGTCATGTATCCCATGGGGAACCATACTGAGGTGACTGAGTTCATCCTAGTAGGTCCAACCAATGTTCCGGAACTTCAGATCCCACTCTTTATCTTGTTCACCGTTATTTACCTCTTCACTCTGGTTGGGAACCTGGGAATTATTGGGCTGATTCTCTTGGACTCTCGTCTTCATACTCCCATGTACCTTTTCCTCAGTAACCTCTCTCTCATGGGCTTTGTGAACTCCTCTGCTGTAACTCCAAAGGTCATGAATGGGTTTCTTGTAAGAGACAATGTTATCTCCTACAATGCACGTGCCATTCAAATGTTCTTTTTTGTAGGCTTTGCTACTGTGGAAAATTTCCTCTTGGCCTCCATGGCCTATGACCGCTATGAAGCAGTGTGTAGGCCCCTACACTACACTACCACCATGACAACCAGTGTACATAGATGTCTCATCATTGGCTCCTATGTCTGTGGTTTTCTAAATGCCTGTATCCAGGTTAGGGACATTTTCAGTATGTATTTA